TTTATTTTTCTTTATATCCATAAATAGTTTTATCCATAGTTATTAAACTGAACCGATTCAACGAGTTGATTTGGTGGCTAGGCCCATTTGTATTTGTTAAAAGACAGGTTTGTGCAGGATCCGATAAACCCTGGTAGACCCTATGCGTCGAACCATGACTCGAGTGAACCCGAGCAAGACTAGGTATTTTTTTTTAATATGATTTTTCTCCTGTACCTTTTTTTATATATATATTTAGTTGATTGTTAGCACTTTTTAAAGTTTATTGTATAAATATTAGAAAAATATTTTATTTTTTTATTGTTAGATTTAAAACCCTTTAGCATACATACTCTGTGTTCCTAAAAAATTTTTTTTTTTTTCAACATAGGGTTTGAAAGCATTTTGTATATATACTTTATATTTACAAGAAAAAAATTATGTTTTTTCAATATTGGATTTGAAACCTATTAGTATATATATTTCATATTCCCGTGAAAAAAAGTTATTTTTTTAATGGGAGATTTGAAATCCTTTAGTATATACACTCTATATTTACAGGGAAAAAAATTATTTCTTTTTAATGTGGAATCTTAAACCCATGGATGTATATGCTATATTTTTTCAAGAAAAAAAATATATTTTTTCAATATAGAATTTGAAACCCCTCGGTATATATATTTAATGCCCTCAGGAAAAAAATTATATTTTTTCAACATGGAATTTAAAACTCTCTAATATATACATTCTATGTTCCCAATAAAAATGTTATTTTTTCAATGTAGGATAAAAAATATTTTGATTTAAATACTTCAACTTCGAGGATAACATAATATTTTTTTCAATGTAGGATTTGAAACCCTTTAACATATATTCTACATGTTCACAAGAAATAATTTTTTTTTTAATGTGGGATTTGAAGTTCTTTAATATACATTTTTTATATTCATGAGAAAAAAATTATGATTTTTCAAAGCGGGATAAATTATTCTTTGCTTGAATACTTCGATCTAAATGGATAACATAGTATCCTCTTCAACGTGGGATGAATTTTTTAAAAAAAATATTCATTTAAACCTTGTTATTCATAACATGTATAGTTTATAGTTACATGGATTTTTTTAAAATTTTTTTCATATAAAATACTAAAACTTTAAATATATATTTTTAAATTTTTCCAGGCTAACCCATGAAATCCAGGATTCGACCATTGACCGGGTTTGATTACCATGGTTTCATATCGTGTGTTTAGTTTTTTATTTTAGAATTTATGACAAAAAAAAAAAAAAAAAAAAAAAAAAAAAAAAAATGTTAGTTAGTTGTGTTTGAAAATATAATCTTCGTTACTCTTTAAAATATTTTTTATTTAAAAATATATCAATATAATTTTTTTATTAAATTTATTTTTAATATTAGTGTATCAAAATGATCTGAAAATATAAAAAAATATCAATTCAAGATAAAAATTAATTTTTTAAAATATTTTTGAAACACAAAAATAAATAAAATTTTATAAAACTCAATTATAAAAATATATAAAAATTACTTTTCAAAAACAAAACTCATAATAAAAAACACAATTTAATATATTACCAAACAACGTACTATACTTTTTAACCGTAAACGCAAAAGCTGGAAGTAAACACGCTCATCGAATTTATGGAATCCATAGGCTGCCAATTGCAGTCCAAGCGAGGTACACCGTACACATGTGAATGTGTTTTCACTGTGTAATTGCTCCAGGAAATATATGTAGATGATGATTGCCCATGCTGACACTTACCCGTATTTTCAGGGCAATGATCACGCAACAGACCGCTCACCGGTCATTACAAGGATTGATTGACATGTATTCGGTTCATGTGATTTCATCCTCGATATGGTTAAGGGCAGACAGTCGATGAACTCGATGACTCGTCGATCTAATCTCTACCTTAAATTGGATTTCAACCCTTAAGTTATTCTGTTTTTCAGTTAAAATTTAAATATATTTTTTTATAAAAAAGAATTCAAAGTTATATATATATATATATATATATATATATATTTTAAAGCTATGTAATTTTGATATATGTTTTTGATTGAACATCTCAGAGCATGTTTAGATGCACAACTAGACATGTATTTTTGATATTTTTATTTTTAAAAAAGTTATATATTTTTAATTTTAATATATTGATATCTAAAATAAATTTAAAATAAAAATACTATTTAGATCCATCTTAAAATAAAAAAATATTTTAAAATATAATTACTACCACAATACTACTAAATATGCTATTAAACTACGACCTAAACGTTGAACTGTGTCAAGTTTAATAATTTCAATTATTAGCACGATAACAAGTTAATTATCTGCACACAATTGCAATTCAGTTTAACATTTTAGCAATTCAATCTACTAATTCAGTAATAAAAGAAAATTAACTCTTTGGATCACGTTTCTAGTTCTCTCCTTGTCCGAGCTACAGTGATGAGGCTGTGAGATGCCTACTGGTGCGTGCGGCCCAATATCTGGGATGAATCATCCTGCAAAGCCCAGAAAGAGATCCAACTCAGAGAATATGGGCCATGAATCTCTTAAGTAATATTGCTTTGGAGCTCAAATATCACAGCCTTGAAATCCACGTGACCAAGACAGAGGCGAAGTTTGTGGCCCATAATTAGGAGCATGCTACTTGCTAATGGCCTGCTAGGCCTCATAGCAACCGAACACAAAGCGGCGGAGAGTAATATTTAACGATTCTATAAAAAAGAATTTTCCATATTGAAAAGTTAGAGTGAAGAGACTCCATACTTCGAAAAAAAAAATTGAGATCGTGGATAGTGTGTAGCAAAAAATTCCTCGGAAAAAATATTTAAAATTAATTAACACATGAATTGATTAAAAAGTATTAAAGAATTATCTTTACCCACACTTTAAAGTATAATTTACAGGGAGGTTATATTTAATGCCTTGATATGAATTATATTTTATTTTTATAGTTTGAAAAATTATGATTTGTATTATATAGTTTGATACATGAATAATACGTTTTTATCTTTTATACCCGAATAATATTTTATTTACTATTAAGAAAAATTAATAAAAATTAATTAAATATTTACTACAACGAAAATGTTGTTGGTGGAGAGATGAAGGTTTTGCAAAGTGGAAAGAAATGAGGGCGATGAAATCCCGAGGGAAGGATAAGATGAGCTTGGCTATATATTTTTTTTTTTGCATTTTCTGTCCATGAAGCTAGCCTAACAATAAAGAATAGTTTTTAATTATGCAGTTTAGACGTTCTTTTAGAGCTTTTGATTCATGAGATTACTGGATATAGATAAATTCATGTTCAGATAAATAATCAAGATCTTGAAGCCTTGATGCAATCAACAAGGCACTCATTAACATTATAATGGAGAGTTTAGGATTAACATGCCCACCTCATGGCCTCCTCAATCCAATAAAACATTCTTAAATCTTATCACGAAAAAGCAGAAAACTCCCACTAGGTGCCACCATTTTCGCCTTCTCCCATTTAAAGCCTAATAAAACCAACAACAGTGAGCAGTGACGAGGCTGTGCAATATGAGCATGCATTTTTTTCAATCATTTCTTATTCTTTAATGCGGGACTTTTTGAGCTGGACCACATGGTCGCAGCAGGAGATGCTGCAATGTGGGATGGTTGCGTCTTCCCAAACTCAGCTGAGACCTTCCGGGCCAATAATCATTTGGAATGGAATCAGATCGTGTCCAATCAAAGTAAATTGCAGACGCCAGCGGTCACTTAAATGGCCACGCAGAGGAGCTAGCACATTCCCACCCAGAATGATCGAATTCTGGGACCATATGTTTTTCAAAGGTCTCCTTTTTTTCTTCTTGGTTTCCCATTACACGATGCCATGTTTTTCCTTACTATTCTGACTAAATTCAACCTGATTTAACATATCAATCAAAAAACATGACGATATGAAGGCTAACCTGCAGCCATGTTTTTTCTTGGTTTCTCATTACAAGTGTTTTTCCTTAACGTGGTTATTAAATTCAGCCCAGTGTAGATCAGTCTGAAAACCTGGTGATTTGAAGGCCAACTTAAACCGGGTTTTTTCTTAGTTCTTCATTACATGATGTTCTGTTTTTCCTTAAATTCAATCTGATCTGGCAGATCAATCCAAAATTTAGCAATCCAGAGGTCAACTCAAGCCAGGGTTTGAACATTAATCTGATGAAACTCGAACAAGAGTCAAGTCAGCTATATTTTTTTATTTAAAAAAAAAAAACTAAAATATCATTGTTTTGAATAAAAATTTAACTCATGTTGATCCACAAATTAAATCAATAATTCAATGACCCAAATCCCAGACTCTATACTGGTAATAACAACTACGCAAAAAAACCGAAACATGAGTTTAGCAATTTTGTTAGATTATTAGATGATACGATAACAAGATGGGTATAATGAGGTGGGCATGGTGGTCTTGACAGAATGATTTTCTTCGTCTTGGATTGGATTAGATCAGTGCCTTTTCTACCATACCACCGGAGGAGATTGGTGCATGGGGTTTTTACCCATCGTTCATTGATGCCCTTTTTATTCATTTTTGTTTTGATGGAGTCTTGGTATATAATATAGTAAATTAGTCAACGTAATTTATATTTGTCCCTCTATAATTAAAAATCCAAAACCTTTTTATTGATTTTTGTTTTGATGGAGTCTTGGTATATAATATAGTAAATTAGTCAACGTAATTGATATTTGTCCCTCTATAATTCTAACATTTAAACAAAAAGAAAAAAAAATCCAAAACCTTTTATCTTAAGGGAATTAAAAAATTATCCTCTTCAACTAAAAAATAAGAATTTTAGATGGACTCCATCAAAATTCGAAGAGTGAAGGGACAAACCACCGACGGCCAGACCCATGTCCTGTTGAAGAATCGAACTGCTATACTTCATTTGATAGCGTGTTGTATGCTCATCAATTTATGCAGCAGAAAGCCAGAAACTATGTGGCCCTTTCAATACACAACATGGAACACGGCAAATTTAAGACACGGATTATTATATAGAATGAACAAGGATGAAGTGAAAGAATGGTTGTCTTCACAAACAATATAATCAAAAGTTCCAAACATGGACAAAAACCAACGCAGGACATGAGCTTAATGTAACAATCAAGATGAAGGAGCCATTCCAGGATTCGTAGAGCCAGAGCTGAAGGGGAGCTTGCAAGGAATGAAAGTGTAGGACCACATCCAGGGACAGGACTTCGGGTGTGCAATGAAATCTAAACATTCCACTACTGATCTTTGGAATGGAAGACCAGGGATGCAATTGTTCGTAACGTCGAGAACTCCTTCGTAAAATAATTCCCTGCACACTGGCCCCAACGCTGTGAAATAATTATCGGACAGTGAAAAGTTCCTCAATTTTTTCAGCTCACAGATCACCTCAGGAACCATTCCAAATAATTGATTGCAAGTAAAGCTCAGCAGCTCCACCTTCTCTAGACAAGACAAGGCGACCGGCAAGGGACCTGTCAATTCATTGTTGCTAGCATCAAATACTATGGCCTCTTTGAGAAGCCCTACCTCATAAGGCAAACAGCCTGTTAGTTGATTGTTCGAGAGTAGGACCTCACTCAGAGAGGAAAATGCTTTGAAAATGCCTGTTGGGATTGGACCTATGAATTTGTTGTTTGCCAGGGTGAGGTAAAGAATGTGAGTGCTGCCTAAATTATCTGGCAACGTCGTCATAAAATTGTTGTTGTTGATAAAGAGAACTTCGAGATTTTGTGTAAATATTTGAGGTGGTACTGCCCCGGAAAAGAAATTGAACCGAATGTCCAGGAATGTTAGGCCATCCATACCAAGAACAGCTGTAGGAAATGAACCAGAGAATAGGTTGTTGCTTATGTCAAGCTCGTAGAGATAAGGAAGCCTGGCGATATTTGAAGAGAGAGTCCCTGCAAAGTTGTTGGAGTTGGCATGAAAAAGTGCAACATCAGGAAGTTGATCGAGAAATCCATCGAGAGTAGGGGCAGCGAGGTGAAATCCGTTGAAGTCAATAGAAGCAACAGCTGTTGCAGAATTGTTATCTGGGGGGCTGTCACAGAAGAACCCTTTGTAGTTGCATATATCCGAGCCCACCCAGGTTTTGGTGATCCCTAGAGGATCGGAGGTGATTAAGGACTTGAACTTCTGTATAATAGGATACACCGAAGCCAGCCTTTGGTCTGCAAATACCAACAGTTCTGTTTTCACAGGCAGAGCTGCTGGTGGTGCTCCAGCATCTCCTAATTTTGAACACCGAGTTGCCCTATATTTCCTGTGATTTTCAGAGCTGCAACCGTTCTTTAGGCCTCTACCTCTGCTACCGATGAGAAACTCTAGTGTCTCCCCGTTGGTGCCACATGATAGAGTGCTGGCAATGAGAGAAGTGAGGATTACATAGACAAGTGTAGACATACTGCTCCTTCTTGTCTCTATTTACGTAGAAGTGCTGTCTGCTTCTTCTTTCTATCAGCTTAAGGGGGCAAACAAGAGCAAATACCAGTGCCAGGAGAAACCACCCAAGTTAAGAAGATACTAAAAGAGATTTCCTCGTGAGAATAATATTATTTTTTTCACGGATCAATTGATTTATTTTAAATGAACTCCTTATTTCCGACCAAAAGAGATCAATAGATATTAGATATCTGAAACAATGCTTCTAAAACAAGCTGACATGGAAGTGATCAAATAATTATCTTTAATTAAATTTTTTTCATGAACTCGTATTAATGTATTTATCACTTGGGGCATGATCCCCACCATAGCCCCATAGTGGAGCAAGCATAATCGAATGAATGCCCGGGAAATGAAAAGCACTGGCGGCACAGCAAAACTTTTCCCTAAAGAAGTCATCAAGCATATATTTCTTTCCACCACCTACTAGTATTATACCATTTGTTGATACGAAATGTTTATTCATAGATAAGGTCAAATCCAAAAAAAAAAAAGTTTGAATAAATAAAAAATAATATCTATTTTTTATCTGATTGTTAGAGGTAGTTTAAATTTGATAAAAAAATATGTCCAAACTCCATTCAAAAGATACTTGTTTTATAATTTTCTTCATTTTTCTTGTTATTTCTCAATTTATTTCTTATTATTTTTAGCTTAGCTTTTTACATGTATATAGAATAGGTTTATTTAGCTACTTCCATTTGATGTGTTATTTTTTAAAATAGTTTTTAGAATTATTAAATTTCAGAATTTATTAAAACACTTTTTTTTAATGCTCGAGAAATCCTAGTTAGCCTTATCCTTTTCCACGTCTGTGTCAATTGTGATTTGAACGAAGTCCAGAGCAAAAATTTATTAGTTGCGTCTTTTAGAAGCTCTGGATGTTTCCATTGATGAAGTTGTGCATGACATGTTACTATTGCTTTGTGAATGAATCTAATGAATGGCTACTGTTCGGCTTGGTAATTTAGTGCAAATCATGCTTCATATAATTTTAATTTTTTTATATGTTTTGAATAATTTTAATATGTTAATTTTAAAAATAGATTTTTAAAAATAAAAATATATTATTTTAACATTTATCTTTCAATGTAGAAAATCACCTTTTTTCTTTTAATTTTCTGGTCAGCTTTAGCTACTGGATTTCAGTTTAAACTACCCCTGGACGGTGGAACTTCGTCCAGTTGGCATCATGTTAAGGCCTTTTAAAATGTGATTTGTTTTCTGACCAGCCATCTTTTAAAATGATTCTCTCGACCATTTTCACTTCTATTTTTTTAAAAAAAGTTTGTTCCTTGTCTGAACGATAATGGTATCTAGAAATGGTGGAATGCTCCTCGGCGGAGGAGAACCAGCCCAAATTCCACATTTCAAAAGTGTTATAATCGTCATTTCAAGAGTGTTGATCACATTGTTCTTGGGCCATTGTTGTTTGTGTTTTCTTCGAACGTGGGTTTGAGTTTTTAAATTGAAAGTATGTCCGAAGGCCGCCCAGTCTACTTGTCGACCTTGATGTTTTGATCAAATGTAATTATGAATGTAAAAGTGAAAAAATATTATTTATTTTTTCATTTTTGTAAATCTTAGTGTTAAAATAAAAGAATATTAACCAAATTATAACTTTAAAAGACACAAATATCAAACTTTTAAAAATATTGCTCGAATGTTGCCTGCATGCAAGAAGGTATGAATTTACTACTAAAAAAACTTGAAAAATAAACTTATTAATTTTTAAAAAAATACCGTAAATATCTTCTATTTTATATGTACTTGACCTTGTTGAGAAAATAAAGAGTAATTTATTTATGAAGAAATATGAAAAATAAATCGAGAAATATATTGTTAGACAAATTTGAGCTGGTATAAGTATACGTTTGTCGTTGCAGTATCCTTTTGAGATCATGGTTTACAAAAATTATAAATTATGTATTTTTTATTTCATAATTAATATTTTTAAATAGAATTTTCAATTAAATTTATATAAAACTAGATATGTATTCATTAATTAAATGGTTTTAAAACAATGGTTAAAATAAATCACAGTTTTCACCACACTGCCGAACAGGCACCACTCCAATGGAGCCCGGCCGCAACAGAATGCTACCACGGCGGCACTGCCATGCCTCATCCTCTAGACAATTATCTGCTGGCTCGAACGAGTAGAGGATGAAGAAAGGATAAGTTTTCAGAGGTGGATTGAAGGGCGCAGGTTGAGGCATGTCATCTAAAGCCTACAGGATCTTTGTGGTCGGGTGCAGTCCAACGACACTGGACCACCACGGGAGCTGCAAGCCTGAAGCCTTTAAACTACTGCTCGAATCAGATCTGAAAGCTCACGCAGTAAAAGTCAGTGGTTAGACGTTGATCTTATCTTGTTTTGGCTTGCTGCTCTGTTGTTCGAGCACTGTAACAAGAAAGTGCCATTTCTTAATTGATGATTTGACCACTCTGCAAGAATTTCTTGATTGAGGATAGTGACCATTTTAATTTCAGCGTGGAAGAGAAAAAGGTTGATGACTTAATTCTATTTTTATATCTTTAATTAAATTAACAGCATGAATTGCGTTCAGTATTTTATGGTTCGGTAATTTTTTTATTTTATAATTAAGTTTTTGTATATTATATTTGTAACTTGATATTCAAAGACGAATATTATTTCATATCCTTGGAAGTTAGCGTGAAAATAAATAAAATATATATATTAATTTAGAAAACTGTTATTGTATCTGAGATAAATATTTAAAAGCTTTTTCTTTTTTCAAAACACATCCTGTATAAACAAAAACAAAAACAAATATAATAAACCAAACCACTCCGATTTCCACCACATTATCATGCTTATTTAGCTGTTTGATTTTTGTTAAGTATTTTTAAAAGAAATTATATTTTTTAATTTAAATTGATATATTTTAGATTTTCATATCCCCAAATCAAAAATAATTTTTTAAAATAAAAAATATTATTTTAATATATTTATAAATAAAAAAATACTATAAAAATAACCATTAACACACCAGTGAGCAGGGGCACTGAGAATAGCAAAAAACGAAGTAGATAAGAGTCATGAAGTAGATAAACAGTACGAGAGAAGTCAATTCGCCTGGTGATTCTCAATCTGCTGACCCACCAGTGATTTCATCCTTTGATGATATGTAACAATGGTGGCCGTGGAAATTTTCTTGGACTTTTTGTGTGCTGATGGAAAAGCCCGAGTGGGATTTCGGATGGGGATGGAGCTGGAGATTTTTTATAGATTGAGGTGACAGAGGAGAGAAGTTGGCACGAACAGAGATAACAAGTTTCTACTGTAATTACTGCTTTTATACAGGGATTTTAAACTAATAATTTATTTTAATTTATTTTTTATATAGTTATAATAATATTAAAAAAAATTTATAATATTAGGTTAGTACATAAAAGTATTTTGGTATCACATTACAATTCATTTCATAAAAAAGCAGGTTATTAAATTTTGGATAGTCAATTACTTAGTTTATGAATTTAACAAGATAAACACTTGATTATTCTTATTCTTAGGTTTATCGATGTTTTTTTTATCTAATTGAAATGATTATTTATTTTTATTTTTATTAAATAGTTAGAAAAAATAATTTTTTTTAAAAAAACATATCATTAAATTTAAAAAAGTCCATGAGCTGGTGGGTTTAATGAGTTAGATTTTTTTTATTTTATTATTTAATATTAAATTGATTGATAATATAGTTTTGTTATATTTTCTATGAGGTTATCACGATCTTAAAAAAAAATCTTAGTATTAGTTTGACGTTTGATTTTAAATCTCAAGATAAATAAAAAATTAGATTAATAAATTTTAAGTTTAAATCACTTGATTAAGTTTAATAATATTATAAAAAAACATCCCTATATTCTTAATATTTTTTTTTAAATTTAGAAAAAGTATTGTCCTCGTGCAAGTGTAACCAACACACAGTAAAATATAGCTTGAAATAAAGGAAATTATCATTTCACTCTTCACCCTTTTATTTATAAACTCTCGCCCAAGAAATAACTGCATACACTCAACTAATTTGTTCATTCTATACTTGTTTCGGTAACAATACCATAGATTTAGCATCTAATTTGTCAGAGATACGAATCCAGCGCAATGCAGAACAATCTAGTTGAAAAACCACTAATGGTGGGGAACAATTATTATCATCACCCCCAGCAAGCAACTTTTGACTTTGCAAAACTTTCATTAATTTAGGTGGGTCACTTGCATGAACTCTCAAAAGTCATCCATACCATGTACCATAAATTTGACGGATTCTCCACAACACCCAAATCCAGGCATATTTATTGCCACAAATTCAATAGGAGAAAACACTGCCTGCCAAGTGGGATAAACTAACATGAAGAGGATAACACCTCCACCCAAAAGGCCAAAACTTCCCCTCATCCACCATCGCGAGCACCATAACTATTTTGGACATGAAGGGGGTCAACCATGCCCTATTAAATACAAATCCTTCTCCTGCCCATTGACTGCCTCTCATTTAAAAAACAATGCACATAACATGAGTGGGAATTGGAACAAAATAAGTGGGGAAACCTTGCAAGATCCACCAGGGAATCAAGCATATATGTATGTAAAAATAAAAAATATAGATATCAGTGGAGGACCTTGATAAAAAAAAAAAATTAATAAAAAACCCACTACTTGCATGATTCAACTCCCACCAAATCCACAATATCTACCCTCTTCCTACCTTTTTCATTTCTAAACAAAAGTCTTCAACCACATGAAAGAAACTAGGGAATCCTATGTAGGTTTTTTCTCCTTTTTTTTTTTTGTTGCTGAGGCAGCTAATGTGCCCACTAGCCTTGTCCTTTGACTATCTGAGCACTAGTGTCTTGTCTTACACGGGCGTGAATGAACTGGGGAAGATCTTTTCCATGCCGATTGATCAGTTGACTTAAGATGATTCGAGGACAAGAGCACCGGGTGCTTCATCGATTGGATGAGAGTGGTTGGGTTCCCCTTCATAGGTCACAATAAGCATCATCGAGTCATCTAGAGCTCTCTCCACGTGTTTGCGTGCCGGACATCCTCTCACGCTACTGCATTTGTAGTATCCCCTAACAAGTTGAAACAAAAGGAATCAAGTTTGAGTTTTTGGACTTGCCCACGACTATCCAAGTATAAATCGAAACGTGAAAGGAACATTGAAGGACCGACAATGCCC